TCTCAATGGCTGTAATAATGTATTGAATAGTCTTTATATGCACTCAAATGCTTAATTTACCTGCACTTCAATTGTGTTTGATTGAGTTAAAAGCTTTTTTCTCTCTCTCTCTCTTGTATTCTTACTTTCAATAAGTGCTCTCTTTTTTAGGCACCACTTCGACCGTCACGAGAGTCGCCAATACTTGCTATGAATAAGCGATCAATTAAATTATAATGGCTTTTATTTTTATCGTTATTTTTTATTTTTCCAATCATTAGTCGTAGAGTAAACAATGTTAATTGATTTGTGTTGGTGTAATATTTGTATAATAATATTATTATGAATTAAATATCATTTGTTTAGTTTACCTAATAGACCTTGGTGATTATAAATAAACATTACATTAATAATTTATATGGTTCAAAAATAAAACTTTATGAAACATTTATAAAGATTTGTCGAAAAACTTAATTATATAATTTACACAATTTACTGTATTGTATAGTATTTGTAAAGTTTGCATTAAAGAAATAAATAATATATTTTATTAATGGAATAAAATGATCAAATGGAGATTTTATTTTATATCAAATAAGCATAACTTTATAAACTATTAAAGCGAGTTGAGAGAGAGAGAGAGAGAGAGAGAGAGAGAGATCTTAAAAACCTGAATAGTTTAACAACCAAGTTGAAATATTTAATTTAATTTTTTAGAAAATCTTAACTTATTAATTACCCATTTTTAATATTTAAAATAAATTCTTAGTGTTAATTATTTCATAATATTTTTGACATTCAATTAACAGATTATTTTAATTTATGCGCTAGTTCACATTAAAGGGCAGAAATGAAATAAAACACTAAGTTACTGTATAAATTACTGTATTGGTTAAAAATAATTACCAACTATATATTTAACATTAGTGTAATTTACTAATTTTAGTTATAATTTCTAAAATAAAACAAAAATCAAGTCTCACTTCACTGATTATGGAAGACCTCCAAAACGACTGGTCGTATTGCCAGCTATCACATGGTTGGTCCGGATTATCATACCTCTGGCACTGGTAGTTGGGATTCTTGGTGCCAACCGTGCGCTCAATCCACTCGCTGTCCGACATATTCTGTTACATTAACCCCAATATGAATACCTTGCTATTTTTATACCACTGTTTAGCACTCGATAGGCACCGGTACCTGATAGGTATGGGGTTTAGCGCACCAGTAGCTCACATTAGGTGCGTAAAACGATAGGCCCAGACTGTGCCAACACGAGCACATGGCGCCGATGAAGAAGTAGATGAATATATTCCTCTGCCACTGACCCCACGGGCCCACTATGTCGGACAGGTTGGTCACGTCATCCTCGTCCTCGCCGTCCACTTCCGGTCTGTACTTTTTGGACGCCTTCTCTGCCATTTGTCTGATGTCTCCGTAATTATCACTTGAATTGCGTTAAGAAATGCACGCTTTGTGTCGATAACTGTTGCATAAGAAACACATAACAGAATATATTTTAGTGGTATTCAAGAATATTCTGTTTTATTACGAGAATTATGTCAAGAAAAAGGTTTTAAGTTTTTTGTTGGGTTTAACATGTTTTAAAATACGGTGTATTTTGAATGCAAATTACATTTTCAAGTGACTTACAAAACACCGATTAGTGCACAAATGCTACGCAAATCTCCGCGAGTTTTATCATAGGATTAATCAAAGCTTAAATAAAAAGTTTTTCACTGATTGTGTTGCAGTCGACAAACTTTTTGTTTTCTTTATATTTGAATATAAGCCAATTTTCTCAATATATTTATACACTTGCACTTAATATGCACTTTCTTATACACCATACCTCCCTTTCCCATTCATTTGGGAATCAATACACAGAATAGATGTATGTTTTGATGAGACAAACAAAATAAATACAAAAAACTTTAATACAATAGTAATATTAGACATTAGAGTAGGCTTTCATAGATATAAATTATATAATAAATTATATTAATGAAATAAAAGTATGTATTTATTTAACAAAAAAAGGCAATTCATTATACTTTCAACAATTTATGCATTGATATAATATAAATAAATATTAATGTATTATTTAAACATGAGATGAAACCCTCTTTTTAGAAAAATAAAAGTTTTTATATCACTATTGAAGGACTTAAATATTTTTGACTCTTTATTATCATTATTATCGCAAAAAATACATTTCATTCAAAAAGGGAAATAATTTCTTATAAAATGGTTTTGTTTTGTTATTTTATTTTTCTTACTAATCATTCAATTCATAAAAACTAGTTTTCATTGATATATCAGTGTACTGTATTTCATATAATAGTAGCGGACAGGTATGTCATGTAGTAATGAGTTAATAATGAGTTTTGCGAAAATATGCAATGAATTTGAAAAATTCAAACTAAATTCATAATTAAATTTGTACGTTTAGTTTTCCCCTTACCTTAAGTTATTGGGAAAATTGAAAATCAAAATCACATTATTTCAACATTGAGTTTGAATTTGATGAAAGTTGTTCACTGGTGACACAATTAACAATTTTTAGATCATGCTAAACATTTGAAACATATTTTTTGTTTCAGCAAAACATTTACACTGAAATTACTGTTCATTTTTACGTTTATATCAAAATTTATAATATATTTTCGTTTTAAATATCAATAATAAATACAAATGAAATCCAAGTGTTTCTAAAGCCCCTGTACCCTCTTTGGCACATCCCCTTCCCATCCCCTTATCTGTTAAACAAACGTAAATTAATATATCCGGATCATATATCTAGCAACTTGTGATGTTTATTTAAGCTACAATTTTAAAAATACAAATAAATTAATGGGAAATCTATTATTAATTTATTATGGTGTATAACAAATTTGACTATTAATAAACTAAATTAATGATAATATTTAATATATATTTAATTCCTAATCCCTTTCCATAACTACAAAAACTTTATTTGATTAAATATCTTAATTCACCTGAAAGTATGATGATCAAAATAAATATATTAAAAATAATATCCCAAATGATGGTCACATGTGTAAGGGTGCGCACATTTCCAAATAATTAGGGATGTTGGTTGATGTGATTTTATGTAGATTACAATAAATAACAAGTTTATTACTGTAGTTTAATAATACATTTAGTTTGAATGAACATTTTTAAAATTGTAATATAAATACAGACTTTAAATAATTATGAAGTGTTTTGTAATATATTTGCATAAAATAATCAAATTTATCATATTGATAGTAACATTTTTACCTGTGGATTTATAATAAATATCACAAGTTTTAACTAAAATAAAATTTTGGATATTTAAAAATTAGCAATATCGTATAATAACTTTTGTAAATTGTATGTAACTAATATTATTAATAGTATACAAGCATTAATACATTTCACAGCTTTCCAAGTTATATGGCTTATGTTATATGTACCAGGATATCAGTGCCTCAATAAACTAGTGATTAACTTGCCGTGTGTTAGCTGCCATCGGGGCGACTCCGGTAGGGAACACCACCATAAGAGTAGCGCAAATTCAGGCAGTGTTACCGCCAATTGAATCCACCGGAAGTCACGTAATAAGTAGGCGGCGCCGGGAAGTACGATATAGCCCAGCGCCCAACCGAACTCGATGGCCATGCCTACCACGGGTCGATACTGGGGGCCTACAGTTTCCAGCACTGGTATGCGCCAGAATATATTTAGCATACTTAGATTAGATGCTTGTTAATTTGTTATATGTTACTATTTATTACGTAAAACAAATCCCGTTCCCCATCGGGCGCTGGCCCCGTACGCCAATGCGAACCTGGAGTTTGGTTTCGTATGAAATACATATTAAAATGAGTGTTTAGTTGTGTAGTGTCCAGTACAAATAACTTTGGTGTCCATACAGACCTGGATATAATGAAGTGCTCAACGGATACGGAGAAAGCCGAACTATCGGGCCGGTGGTCAAGATACTATTCAGGGCGGGTATACTATCCCGCGGCAGGCTAAGACATGTATGTACGTTGACCCAGTTAAATATTATGTAATTGAATATAAAGTGTCATAACTATAATAACTCATATCATTCTTTATTATATAATTTATTGTGTAATACTTGAATAAATTAATGTTAACTTGGTCACCATAAAAAACTGGATTTATAATATGAATTTCATAAATCATACTAACTAATTTATAACTTGCTGTGCTACATATAATCAAGGACTATCTACAAACTTAATTTTAAAAAATTATTTATCAATACTTAAGTTTTGTTTACTATAATAAATAAATTGAAAACTTTTTGAAAATATTTGTTCATATATTTGAGATAATATTTAAAAAAATTATGGCTTATATAGAAAATAATATTTTACTCGATTTTAATTTGTAAAAAATATTTTCAATTTTATATTAATAAGCGTGTCATTACTTATCGGATAACTGTCCCATCACTACCACAGTAACCATAACCTGTAGGCAATCGGCGCCGACATTGTATAAGCCGTTCCCAAAAGCAAACACATAAAAAATAACATAAGAGTTGGACAAACATTAGATTTTTTGTGTATTTTATTTATATTTCAATTATGTGTATAAAAGTGTTTGTCTTATATGTGTATAAAACATGAGTACAAAGCCTTACGCCCGCCATATATGCCGACTGTGTAAGTGATGCCAATCCCTCCCGATTGCATACTATGTTCCACTGCAATAGACATCACTGTATTAGATATATTTTGACCATGGGAAAATATTTTATTTTAGATGCTATTTCTATTACTTATGTATTATATCATTACATCATAATTACATCACAAAAATAATAATGAAATAATGGGTGGAAAGTGTTGAAAGTTATTTGAAAAGACAAATTGTATTAAACTATTTTATTTATTGTGTGTGTGTGTGTGTGTTTCCAGAAAATATCTACCTTTCCCTCATAGTATGCTTCANACCCCCGCCCAACATGGCGGCCGTGAGGGGCAGTCGGCGCCCGTACTTTTTTAACAGGTATATGCATAGGGCATAGGCCGGGAACTCGACCGCACCGGCCATCAGGAAGTTTATGAACGGATTGCCGCCCAAGTTATTCGTGTTCAGCGACAGCCCGTAGTATATAAACGCGTTGACAAACCTGGTGGACAGGGAGCACCGGATCAGGAGTTTAGTAAAATAATGCAAAAACTTACAAATATTAATTTGATAAAGTTTTTAAAGTTATAGTTATTACGCGAAATATTTTAATTCATAAAACTTATTTTTATTACCATTAAATGAATGGCAGTAATTATAAATAAATTGCTATAAATAAATCCGTTTAGATTTAAGCTTTGTGTTTTGCTTAATTCTCAATTTATCTAAATTGTGTGCCAGCTCATTAGATTATAACTTATAATTGATAAGTGTTTGTTAAAAAGTGTAATCCCTGTCTCCCCATATACTAACTGATAAGCCAGTGGCTATTGGTGTCATGAAAATCACCAGATGTATTCAATACAGGCTATTACAGTATGGATTTGTCTGATTTACATGTATTCAACAATAAATACACAAACATTTGAACCCTTTTTATCCGTTTGTCTGACAAAATGTGTTACTAATTAAATGATGAAAACCCTATGGATTCTGCGAAACCTGCCGTTCCCACACACCTACAGACACTTAGCTTCGCAATGCAACTACTTTTCTCATCCCTTTCCCTTCCAGTTTTCAGACAACTTTTGCTTTACTCGGAAACACAAAGCAATAACAAAATACAGACGAAAATAAATTCATTTCAAAAATAAAACTAAAAATATTGTTGTTTTCTAGAGAAACGTACGGCTAATAAACACCCATATAAGCGAGCACTGGTATCCCTAATGCTGTAAATGGCATACAATTTAACCAGTACATAGCAAACTTGTAGACATTTTTTTCAATAAAAATTCTCATATATTTAGAGCTAAAAATTGTGTAAAGATTCAAATAAAAATTACACTTAAAAATAATGATTATAAACATAGTTTAAAAGTGTTTTGAAGTTTGTATGCATTCATAGGTATTAAACTTATTGGCAATAAGTTACTGCAATATAATAACACTTCTTAACTTAATTAATATTTATGAACAATAATTAAAATTTAAATAAATATTATAGAAAATTGTCGGATGAGGTAAGCTTAAACACTTTATATAAATTAACTTAACAGTGTATACTATACTACAGTGTATAGTGAATATAAAATTAATATAATAGACAATTGCCAATAAATATATGTACAAAACAAATACATACCACGAAAAGTAGAGTATGGCCGTATTCTTGATCATAACCCTGGTTTTACACAAATCAAACAGATTGGCCCGTTTATTGGTCACATCCTGTTCCTTATCCTGAAAACCACGGCATTCAGTACAACGCATACATATACCCAACACAACCGCGTAACGGGGCCGCACAGGTATCATAATTATATATGGCTTACGGCGAGTGCTTTTTCCATGAGTTTACGTAACTTGTGGTCGATGTCAGCGGTAGACTTCCCGTTAACCTCCGCCGCCCGACGTATAGCCCGTTCGGCCTCCGCAAACTTGCCGTGTGTTAGCTGCCATCGGGGCGACTCCGGTAGGGAACACCACCATAAGAGTAGCGCAAATTCAGGCAGTGTTACCGCCAATTGAATCCACCGGAAGTCACGTAATAAGTAGGCGGCGC